TATGACTGAAATCGTCCGTCCCGATTTACACTACTAGAAGAAAAAAAACAAGACATCCACATATTGGTGACAAAGTTTTGAATTTTCTTTTATTCTAGAGAAATTGTAATAGAGTAGTAGCATATAAACTCTATCAAACTTATGCTTTTGAATCTTATAGCCCATGGCTCTGTAGTGATGTCCTGAATAGGTTAATTAGGTCCTTTGTGTAGATTAACAAGATGTGAGATGTGGTATCTACTATTATGCTAGGTTAAGATCTTTTGCTGAAATCGACACAAACGTAAGATGTAATATATGTTATAGTCTAATAAAATTTACGTTGAATTAAGAAAACTTAGAAGATAGTTTTAAAAATTGTGTCGCTGGTAAGACTTTGAAAACCCAATATTCAACAGGGAAATCAAATTTTTTTTTCTTAACATCTATCTTATATTTATATAAAAACCAAAGTTACATAGTGCATACATAAAATAAGAGAATTACAACAAATTACATAATTGAACTTTTGAAAAAAAACAAAGGAAGTGAATTTCAAGAGGGAAATCAAATTTCTATTGCAAGAATGTTAGATTTAATTTTTAAAACATTTTGGAATTTTGTAATGTCTAAACGAGAAAAATATTAAAACAATAGTAATAGCTTTTAACATCTCATTAAAAGACGAGTTGGGCCCCATTCACATAAACCTCATGGGCCGGGTCCACATTCAACCATAATTAATTTTGAAATAATTTACCCGCCACTTGAAAAACAAAACAAAAAGCCCAAATGGCTTCTCTCAGAAGCTGGCGGGAAAATCCCAAATATTTTCCCGGGAAAGTGGATAAAATATCGGCCATTAAAGGACAAAGTAGATAGCAATCACAATAAACCCTAAAGATATCGAAACCGAAACCCAAAAACCCCTTTTCTCACGCCTACCTTCTTATCTCTCTATAAAAAAAACCATTTCTTCTCAGCGACAGTGTTTCTTATCACCAGACGCCTATTAACTGTTCGACAGAATTCCTCTGAGAGAATTTTTGCTTTTTTCCCTCTTTGACATAGAAACATGTATGTGGTGAAGCGCGACGGGAGACAGGAAACCGTTCACTTCGACAAGATTACTGCGCGGCTGAAGAAACTCAGTTATGGTCTTAGTAGTGACCATTGTGACCCTGTCCTCGTTGCTCAGAAAGTCTGTGCCGGTGTCTATAAAGGAGTCACCACGAGTCAACTCGACGAGTTGGCTGCCGAAACTGCTGCTGCTATGACTTGTAACCATCCTGATTATGCTTCTGTGAGTATTGATTTCGTTTTTCCTTTCTGGGTATTCCTTGATTTTGATTAGTCATTTCTGGTGGATTGGATGAAATCTCTCTATGTGATTCTTATGATCGAATTGTACATCCTTCTCATTAGCATGACTTATGTGATTTATATGTCTTCTGTTGTGTTTAATTGCAGCTTGCTGCTAGGATTGCTGTCTCAAATCTTCACAAGAACACTAAGAAATCCTTTTCTGAGACGTGAGTGTTATTTGGGACAGTTTTTTGTTTATGTGGGTATAACAATTGATTAAGGTTTGTGCGTTCTAACGAGTTGACTTTGGTGGATTGTGTTGTGTATTTTCAGGGTTAAGGACATGTTTTATCATGTCAATGAGAGATCTGGATTGGAGGCTCCTCTAATAGCTGATGATGTATTTGAGATAATTATGAAGGTAAGAGAAAAGCTTGTGTTACTGTTAGGTTCTCATTCTGTTTCTTGGTGTGATGTAGATGGATAATGTCCTTGGATGTACATTCTATATCACTGAATTGTGCTTCCTTCGATTTCTTCAGAACGCTGCTCGTTTGGACAGTGAAATCATATATGACCGTGATTTTGAATATGATTACTTTGGATTCAAAACGCTTGAGAGATCGTATCTCCTAAAAGTCCAAGGGAAAGTTGTTGAAAGACCTCAACAC